CAGGGCGGGCAGTTCAAAACCAGCCGCTCTGCGGGAGAAAGACTAGGCTTTCTACTCCTCTGAATAATTACACTTTCGTAAACCCACAGGGGGTCGCTATCGATCAGCATCTCCTCCATGGCGGAGACACTGGTTTTTCAGAAGTACTGCATCACCGCCCTTTCTTCTGAAGCGTTTCTGGGTAGATTCGACCCTCCAATCTTGCAGTTAGCAGCCAAATGTATTCGCTGTACCATCCAGAGATTGCCAGTAAAATAATAACCTAGAAATTTAAAAATATTTTTTGTTAACTTGCAATTTAAAAAATTACTTCACCTTTAGAAAGGAACGTGCACAGACTGCCATGAATTTACTTTAATTAGCCATGCTGACTACTTATTTTACCCCCTCTGAGTCTTGCTAGCTAATATGAATCAAATTCCTAATGTAATTTAAGACTCCCTCAAAGTAGAATCACACACTAGCACGCTATGGATGATGTAGACATTAAGTGTGTCATAGTAAGTAAAATGGGACAATGCCCTCATTGGATGAGCCTTAATCATTCCTGCTTGGAACTAATATCACCCCATGAAATGTAGCAGTATCCTATCAACTTGACAACCCAACGGAGTTTCTCTAACTGTCGTTTGGAGCCAGCAAAAGGGGCCAGGGGAGATGGCCTTGGTGGCAGAAGAAGAGGGGCCGGGAATTGGTTGGATACTAGGTCAATTCTGAGAATAGACCCCAATTTATTGACCGACGTTTCTAATGTTGATTCCACACAGTCACATAAGATTCTACCTGATTCTCATCTCCTGGGCCCTGATCCTCCTTTGAAGCTCCCAATTGCATACAGCTGGTCTCCTGGCAGCATGGATGGTAAGACCTGGCAGTTTCCTCAATTTGTTTACCGGGAAAGCAGTTTCTGGTCCTGGGCTGGTTGTTTATTCCACGTGTCCAGTCGTCAGAGTAGCTCGCACAGTCTCCGCGTTCCAGAGACCTCACTTCAGTCACTGAGTGTATTTCATTCACTCGGGTAAGAGGTCTCCTCTGTCCGCAGTGCTCATCTTAATGAAAGGAGCTCCGGCAAGGACTGAGTAAAGAATCCTGGTGGCTCCGTGGTTGAAGCCACGCGGCAGCTCCAAGGGGGAGAAAAAGTGGCCATCTGCTCCCCAAAAGATTACAAGCTAAAAATAAACTCAACCTAGAAAACCCTACACGTCAGTTCTCTTCAGTCCCAAAGGGTCACTATGAGTAGAAACCAACTGATGGCCCACAGGGACTACAGTGAGAGCTGTGTGTTATCCGCTAACGTAGTCCTGACTATAGATCGGAAAAGAGATGTCCAGTAGCTTGCTACGTGTCACATCGTGGGAGCAAGAGTGTGAACCCAGGCAGCTGGACTTGAGATCTTGTATTTGGCGTTGAGATCTGTGAATGGGGTTTTCCTCTAGCTCTGACTTAAAATGTCGTATTCACCTTTCGTGAATGAGGTGAAGGTTTCCAGGGCGGGCCGTCAGTTTTACATTCAACAACTTAGCAAACTTCTCATTGTCTTGTCCTGGAGCCATCATATCCCCACTCCACTCCAAACCAACCACACACCACCTCCCTCTTGCTGAATATGGTTTTTCCCCAATAACACCTCTCTGTCGGCCTGAGGGCAGTACGTTTGGTTCTGAGCGTACCACCTGTCAACGTTGACCAGAGTGGGGGCCCCTGGAGCGATCCGGGGAGGCTGCAGAAGCAGAAACTGTCCTTTGTCCTGGATTATGGCCTATTGAACAAAGGTCTTTCTTGTCATTGCCAGGGAAATGCTGAGGGACTTTACTTTCTGAAAGGGGGGCACGAGGCCAAATGAGCTTGGGAACGGATCCTCTAGCCCAAGGGTCAGCAAACCTTTGAGATGGACGAGCCAGTCCTGTCCCTTCGCATCAATTAAAAAAAAAAATCCTCCAGAGCCTTAAATATATTTTTACAAACAAATGAAATCACCATTCTCTGTAAATGAAACTATGATCGTTTTATTTTCATTTTCAATTTTCGGAGCCACTTGTGTACCAAAAGAGCCACAGTTTGCCGAGCCCTGGCCTAGCCGATGGCTCTGCCTTCTCCTTCCCCATCCTCCCCCTGGCAGCCATCACAGTCGGCTTCCCCTTGTGATCTTGGGGTGACTTGGAGCATCATGTCTTCCAGGTTCCCCCCATATCGTAAGGTGTTTCCCAGATTCATCCTTGGATGGTTTCATCTGACTTAAATTCTTATAACCAGAAAATCAAACCTGCCATCGGGTCATTCTGACACAGCGACCCTGGTGTTTCTGTGACGATGGATCTTTACTAGAGCAGACAGCCTCCTCTTCCTCCGTGGGAGCAGGCTGCTGTGCTGGCCATACCGTCCTTTCAATTCTTGTTCCTTCTTTTTGGCCAGGGAACAGTAGAGTGTGTGGGCAGAAGGATAGGAGGTGGGAATCAGATGGGATGCTTGAAAGCAAGGGCTTGGGCACGATGCCCCGGCTGTGGGGACAAGGACTGACGGTAACACAGGGTGACTAACCCGGGTTGGAGGCCAGGATCAGTGAAGCCGAGAAGGTAGAGAAACGGAAATGCCAAAAGTTGGGCGGGTCTTGTGAGTGTGGAAGGGAGCGAGAGTGGTGGTAGCAGTAGACAGAGGAAAGGCAGGCAGCCGATGCAATGTGAAATGTCAAAAGATTAAGCAACTTCCCCTCAAGAGGTTTACACAGGCAACCTTGAAAGGTTTCCATTGTAAGAGCCACTGGGGACATCAGCAGGGGAAGCTGCTATAGTGGATTCTGGGCTCCAGCGAGCAGACCTGGGGTGCGGGGGTGGGGGTGGGGGTTGGGAACAAAGAGACAGAAGATCAGACTGCTGGGAGGACGCTGGTGCTTTGTGGTGGTGACTGGGGCACGTGGGTGTGAGGTGTCACAGGTTTAACCCTACTACTCTGAAGGAAGAGGGGCCCAGGGGGCAAAATATGAACTGCCAGGCAGCATGTTTCACCTGTGTCTGCAATGGTATGGACCCGGACCTCCTCCAGGGATGTCTTCTCTGGGGCTGGGGCATCTGGGAATGAGAGTAGAGGGCCACCTGAATCCTGTGCCAGCACGTTGCTAGCACACCTGGAGAGCAGAGGTCTGGGGCTTGGCCCTTTTGTTGCCCCCTCGAGTTGTGGAGTCTGTTGATTAAGCCATTCAAACTTAAAAGCACTCTCACAACATCCAGCTCTAAGCTTTATACCTTTCCATCAGATTCTCAGCAATAACTTTGGCCGTGTGCCCTTGCCCTCTGAAAAAGGCAAATCGAGTGATGGAAAGGACCTTAGTTTGGTGATTGAAGCCAGCTTCTCACTCACCCAGGTGGCCCCACTGGCTTGTTTCACCATGTGATCCTGAGTCAGCCTCTCTGAGTTCCAGTCCTTCAACTTAAAATGAGGGGACCTTTACCTAAATAACAGGTTGACTTATAAAATGGAGAATATCACCCCTGAGGACTGACTAGCTCCCTTCCTGCCGCCGAGTCCATGCCGACTCACTGCGACCCCATTAGACAGGGTAGAACTGCCACCGTGAGTTTCTGAGACAAATTCCTTATAGGAGTAGAAAGTCCCATCTTTATCCAGTTAAGTGGCTGGTGGTTTAAAACAGCTGGTCTTACAGATCTCAGCCCAATGTGTAACCACTACGCCACCAGGGCTCCTTCATGAGTACTGAGGGGGGGTTATATATGGGACAATAGAAGATCCCTGGTGGTGTAGTGGTTATGTGCTGGGCTCCAGTTGTTACAGGATGAGCTACTAACCACAAGGTCAGCAGTTCAAAACCACCAGCTACTCCCTGGGAGAAAGACGAGGCTTTCTACTCCTATAAAGAGTTACCATCTCACAAACCCGCAGAGCCAGTTCGACCCTGTCCTGTAGGGTTACTGTGAGTCAGCAGACTGGGTTGATAGTAGCCGCAGCAATGAGCTGAAACAGAGGAATGGCTGGTAGAGGGTGGGCAGGGTTTGTTCTGTCATACATGCAATTAGCGGTAAAACCAGCTCAATGACACTTAGCCACCAGAATTTATGAGCCAGAAACAGCTCGGAAGACAGTCCATCGGTTCCGCCAGCTTTTCTTAGTGGTGCCCACTGAAATCCCTCTGGCCTCTTGGCCACTCAGTAAACGCCCAGACACAAACGCCCAGACACACTCCACCAGTAAGTCTTCAGCCTGAGGGCTCTCAGTTCCCGTACTCCGTGCGTGGGTTGGCAGGTCCACTGTGGCCATCTTGCACCTGTGTCCTTGTTCCGCGGTGACCTTTTCTCTGCTGCTGTGCCATACCATCTCATGATTTCTCTGGTGTGGCAACTCTGTTCCCTGGATCTGGGAGATTCTCAGAGCAGGGACCTCAGGTCTAATGGATATGCTCCCAGCTGTTCTTGGAAGTGAAGTGTACCTGTCCCCTCTGGGGTTGCGAAAATGACCAGTCCCCTTGTTAGGGTTCCATACGCTGATTTGCATACCCCAACCTTCTTTCCATGGATACGATGAACCTTATCTACGTTATTAGCAAGCTGTCCAATCCCCTCGGGCCGTAAACACTCCTATCATTTGATGCAAACTAGGGCTAGAAAGGTCCTATTAAGTAATTCCCTGCCCCACATCACCAAATTGTTCTCAAGTAGCTTTATCCTCAGTGGTACGGTGCACAGGGCCTGTGTCCGCTTCACCTCACAGGAGTTGATGTCATTTCATTGTTTTCTGCCACGGTCGAGGATTTTAAAAGGCACTTCATAGTTTTTACTGCGCTTCCTGGATTCTGGCTGTCCGTGGTATATTAATATTGTTCACCAGCACCATCATCCAAAAAGGATCGATTCTTCTTTGGTCTGCTTTCCTCATTGTACAGTTTTTCCTTCCACATGCAAATGAGGTGATTGAAAATACCATGCTTTAGGTCTGAGGTATAGTATTCCTCTTTGACCTCTTGACTGTTGCTTCCACGACTGTTGGCTGTGGAGCCAAGTACAGCGGAACCCTTGGCAATGTCAGTATTTCCTCCCTGTTTCGTTCTCTCTCTGTTGAGGGGTCATCCACAGAGACGGCTGTAGTCCCGGATCTCCCTTAGCAAGTGTTCGGAGTCTTTCTGGATTTCGGCAAGCCAGGTTGGGTCATCTGCCGATTGCAGGTCGGCATTGCCTCTCCTTCAGTCTTGTTGCTGTGGCCCTCGGAGAGTCCAGCCTCCTGGATCATGTCCTCAGCGTACAGCTAGAATGTTAAATGATGGCCCATTCGGGGTGACTGGCCATGATGGCTTTTTATGGTATTCTTTGTATCTTTACATATTTAAGAACAGGTGTTCCCAAACAGTTCAGGAGAGAGGGATGCTCTCCATGCCGGCTGGTGCTCGTCAGTGTATGCCCTGGTTGACTGGGTTTCATGGCGGATGGTGTGCGGGAAGTCCCTTCTTAGGTAGAATGGCTCCAAGGGGTTTTCGTGGCTGCCATCTTTACAGAAGCCGTCGCCAGGCTTTTCCTCTGCTCCGCCGTTGGGTGGATTTGAACCACCAACCTTTAGTCTGATGTAGACTGCACCAGCAGGGACTTCATTAATTGAAGTAATCCAGGTACACAGGTCTAGCCCAGGGCCTGGCCTATGTTTGTTGTCCCTCAGTAGCTATAAGCCCATGGGGTCACTGCCAGTTGGAGTCAACCCAATGACAGTGGGTTTTAGCGCACAGGCCACTCGGGGACGGACGGAGAGCCTAGGGCCAGGGCAACAGCAGACGTATCAGCCAAAACGGGGCCTCTGTAGAGCCATTTTTGAAAGGTGACATTAACATTTAGGCTCTCTTTTTATTGTGGAGACTTTTAATTCGCAATACTTGTCATTCGCAGTTGTGGTTTTGCTTTTTCCTCCTGGTCGTCTTAATGTCTTTCCTTGTGTCCACTTCTCGTCCGCCAGGCGAGGAAGACGATCTGTCTCTGCTAACTGCACTGCTGGAGGAGAATGAGTCCGCCACGGGGTGTAACTCAGAAGAGGACAGGTCCTTGGCCCAGGAAGATGCTGAACCCGACCAATTTGATGAGCTGTTTGATGCTGATGGAGATGGTGAATCTTACTCAGAGGAGGCTGATGAAGGAGAAGCAGAGAGGAATGAAGACGAGAAGGAAAACCTGGCTATGCTCTTTGGAGACATGGGAGATTTGACAGATGAAGAAGAAGTTCCTACTTCGCAATCAACGGACAATAGGGCTCTTCCTGCCCCTACCTCAGGTCAAGAGAAAACAAATCAGGAACTGCAAGGTGATTTTAACTACTTAATTGTCTTCTTTAATTATTTTTGTGACCACCTCTCTGAGGTGTTCATTAAATTAGCTGCTGATTCAAGGATAGAAATAAATGACTTGACTGAAAATTGTGTGCTATAGGTCAAACATTTAAGGCCAGCAGTTAGCTGCTAAAGGGCCTCCTTGTGTCGGCTACAACTGATGCCCAGGCTGCAGCAACTTCATGGTGTTACAGCAGACGATGGCTTTACGATTGATCTGCATGCGGAGCCAGGGCTGCTACCACAAAGCTGCTGCGTGTCCATATCAGTTAAGATAGTTTATGCATCATGTATCATGATTTTCTGAACCCTGAAAACTTAACAGAAGACGTGTGTCTGATACCTGTCAGCAGGCAGATTCCATACCAGCTTAGATACTAGGGACGTTACCGGAAATCAAAGGGGATCTTACTTAGGGAGTTTTTTTGGGTGCTTATATTGCTCAAGCCATTTCAGTGTGTAATTGTATTGTGGAGCTCAAGATTGGGAGCAGGGAGTCGCCAAAATATTCCAGCATTTCCATCACGGAATAGCACATCCGTCACGTCGAACAACGTCCCCCTGGCTTGGTTCTTCATGTATTTTTCTTTTCTAGAGGAATTAAGGAAGCTTCAAGAGCAAATGAAGTCATTGCAAGAACAGCTCAAAGTAGCAACAATCCAACAGCCTGCAAGTCCGGCCTTTCTGCATAAATCCCCTGGTAATCAGCCTGTCATTCCGGACTCGTTTGCATCCCTTTACATTAAACGGTAGCCTTGACCTTGTTAACATTATACTCACAGTATCACATATGTGAAGTACATTATAACATAGCTTCTGCATCCAACTTGTGTCACGACAGCCCCTTTTCTTACTACTTTTCTTTTTCGATTGATATCGTGTTTATTTTATTTTTATCTTACTCACTTTTTTATCTTTTTAATTTTTTAATCATTTTATTGGGGCTCGTACAATTCTTATCACAATCCATCCATGTGTCAAGCACATTTGTACATTTGTTGCCATCATCATTCTCAAAACATTTGCTTTCTACTTGAGTCCTTGGTATCAGCTCCTCATTTTTCCCCCTCCCTCCTCGCTCCCCCCTCCCTCATGAGCCCTTGATAATTTATAAATTATTATTTTGTCATATCTTGCGCTGTCCGACGTCTCCCTTCACCCACTTTTCTGTTGTCCGTCCCCCAGGGAGGGAGTTATATGTAGATCCTTGTAATCGGTTTCCCCTCCCTTACTCACTTCTACTTTCCATCCAGTAGCTAAGTCCCCACGCCCGTCTCTTAAGGAGAAGAAGGTTCAGAGAGTCCAGGAGTCGACGAGCTTTTCTGAAGAACTTGATGTCCCGGTTCTCCCGAAAGCCAAGCGGGTGGCTCGGGCCCCAAAGGTGGCTCCGGCAGGTGAGGTGCTCCGTGTCTCACGGTTGCCCGCTGCTCTTGCTCAGTTGGCCAAGCCAAGACAGTCGGCACCTCCTGCTGTCTGTTGGCTTGTCTCATTTCTTCATTGAGAAAAGTAAATTTCGTAGGTTTCCTTCTCTATATCGCAAGTTGTACCCTTAGCAACAATGTAGCTATTTAGTGAGTTGACTTTTTCATTTTTAAAGTGAAAAAAAAACCCAAACGTTTGTTTTACTTGGACTCTAGTCAAGTGTAGCCACTGGACTGAACTCGCATGCCCAGAGTCTGGAGAGCTCATCTTCAGGCTTGGGACGATAAGTCACAAATTATGTTATCAATTGTCAGTGCCAGGCTGTAGCAAGCCAGAGAGAGTCCATTATAAAAAAAAATTTTTTTTAATGCAAACAGAGCACCCATCTGCCAGGAGTTTAGATTGGCACACAACTAAAATTTTATTTCATCAAGCACACAGTGTACGCACGAGGTAAAAATGAAAAAGGTGCCTACACCCTGTGGATTGACTGCTGGACTGAGTTCATTTAACCAAGGCGGTGGTTGTGTTGGAAGACTTCGCCCAAATAGCCCCCGATGACCCAGCTCAGAGTAAAAGGCATGTTCGTGATGGTGTGTATTCAGAATGGCCTCTGAACCACACTGGCTGTGGCAGTCAGAAAGCATGCTGCGGCCTCTGGCCTGGCAGCGGGTTGCACAGCTCGGGCATCTACCTGTAAATAGTGTCCACTCCCTTGCAACCTTTGGCATTATTGAGGTGACTCACTAAGCAGTGTTTGTAAAGTCTAGTTTTGAAGCGATGGGACTTCAGGGTGGTTTCTAAAGGTCTAGGATCACCTTGATCGTTGGAGCGATTATCCAAAGTGCATTTGGAAGTAAACAGCACTTTCTTACGTAAGAGGGAGTAATCATTTACTAAGAAAAATGCCTAACTTTACCAACCTTGGGTGGAATGCTCAATGCCTCTAAAATATGATTTCATTTAAGCAATAGTAAAATCTCCTCCTGTTACCACCCTCTCCTCCCGTCCCCCAAATAAAATGTAATGGGGGGAATGAAAGAAAAGAAAGTGAAGCCTGCTCTTGATTTTCTTCAGGCAGAGTTGGATGCAGACACACATCTCTAATACTTAGTCATCCTGAAGGAGGGCTAAACTCCCTTATCAAATCAGGCCCAGTGCTCTGTGTGCAGTGACAACTCAGTTAATGTCATTGCCAGAGTAACTAATAAGGTTCTAGAGCAGGGGGTTCTAGAGCAGCGTTTCTCAACCCGTGGGTCGCGACCCCTTTGGGGCTCAAACGACCTTTTCACATGGGTCTCCTAAGACCATCAGAAAACACATATTTCCGATGGTCTTAGGAACTGACACACTGCTCCTCTATCCATCTCCAGGCAGGTCCGCCCACATGCAGATACGCCCACATACGAGTACCAGGCATGATGACATCATCACGCCAACCCCATCACATACACCCTGTACAAATACAGGAACATGTAACGGGCTTGGCACCATAATGTACTTATTTGGACCAGTCACACATGTGTAGAGAGCAGCTACTGTGTTAAAGCAGCAGAATTGGAGGTAAAATAACACTTCATGAATTATAATTACTGAGGACAGAAATGACCTCGTTGACTTGCTTCGTTCTCTTGTAATTTGGTAGTTGTATGGGTTTGTGACCAATGGAATAGATCCAAAAAAGGCAAAAATACAGTTATCAATGTGACTTCCGTTTCACTTTGTATGTTCACTTCCCAGGGCCTCAAAGTTCATCTTTAGGGATGGCAAGTGCCCCATCCCAACCACTCCAAAATATTCCTGGGAACAAACCTAATGGGATGCAGAGAGATCAGAGCTGGAGGGCCCCAAAGAGCTCTGGGGACCAGACTCCACCCGTCTCTGTGGAAGCCTTCTCTGGCCTGAGGCTCAGGTCAGTAACTGGAGCCACCTGCCCGCTCTGCCCGGACACACCACCAGCTGGCTGTCCGCCTTTCAGAGAGCATGCTGTCCTTGCACGTCCTTGTCCCTCGCCCAGCTCTGACACTGCGTGTGACTCAGCATGTGACATTTAAGGAAGGCTGGTTTCCATCGCCAATAAAACACAGATCATCTGTTTTTAAAAAGGGATACTAAATTTGAATAGATAAGTAGTAAATTCAATGAAAGGGCAGAAACCTTTTGAATATATAAAAGTGTAGAGTTTAAGACTATAGTATCATCTAGTATAATTTAGTTATATGTATATATATATATATCTTGTTGACATGTCAGGTACTATCACAGAATGTAAAGAATTTGTGATCTTATTACTTTTCCAGTAGCTACAGTCGTTTCCAAAGAAAGCACACTTAGTTCTAAAAACGATGTACCATAAAGTGTGTGCCTTGACCATGCTCTATCCCAGGTCCTGGGATAGAAGCGGCCTGCTAGAGGTTCTGCCCCATCCCACCTCCCCGTCCCCCCCGGGCAGTGCCGGGCAATCTCACTTCTGCGCATGCCACCCACCAGTGACGCTCTCCTCCGCAGGCGGCCTCGCGTATCCTCCACAGAAATGAACAGAAAAATGGTTGGCCGAAAACTGATCAGACTGTCTCAGATCAAGGAGAAGATGGCCCAGGAGAAACTGGAAGAAATGGACTGGGTGACCTTTGGGGTCATTGTAAAGAAAGTCACTCCACAGAGTTCTAACACGGTAAGCCATTTGACCAGCTGCTTAGCCACGTCACCACCAACTTCCGCCGAGGGGGTCACCATCTGCAGTTGCTGTGTCGAGCCTCTCTGCCGGCATTGCGATGTGAAACGGCTGCTGTGCGCCGTCACGGAGGGGGTGGGGTGGGGGGTGTCAAGAGCACCCTGCTTAAAGGAAACCCAGTTGTGGAGGTGTTGTGGGCCTTCATTGCCCAGACCACTGTTGTATTTCATTGCTCCTTATTTTGGATGACACGTGTGGTTGCCCCTTGGACACTCCCCTGCCACCCACCCCACCCACCCCCAACCCCCAGTAGAAGAGGGGAACAGGTATCGCAGAGACTGACGGTCACATTAGATGTCCGCTGGCCATGGCAGAAGTTCTCAGACGGCTGGCTCACGCTGGGGTAGCGGTAGCGATGGCATGTTGCATTTGATGGCTATTACAACAGACCTAGCGAGTGTAAACACATCTCAGTTGACTGAGGCCGAGTGGGGAAATATCCTGTGACCAAGCAGGTTAGAGAACTTGGAGGCTAAGCCTGGTTCACCCTTTAACTGTGTGGCCTTGGGTTGACCTTTCTGCATCTTTTTGAACCAAAGATTCACTGCCATTGAGTTGATTCTGGTTCAGACTGACCCTAAAAGACAGGGTAGAACTGCCCTTGTGGGTTTCCATAACTGTATTTCTTTATGGGATAGAAGGCCAGCACTTTCTCCTGTGGAGTAGTTGGCAGTTTTGAACTGCTGACCTTGCAGCTAGCAGCCCGACTCATAACCACTATGCTACCATAGCTTCCTAATCTTATTGAAGGGCCTCCATTTATGTGTCTATAAAATAAAGTAGCTGCCTTGGGTTGTATTGAAAGTTTCTTCTAGCTTCGAAATATGATGCTTAGTCATGCTCCCTAATAGTTTCATTCTCTAATTTAGATCGTGGCCAGCTTTAGATTTGTCTGAGCTCTGATGGCAGGGTAATGATCTGCATTTTAGATTCGTAGCCCTATTACGGCGAGCACATCTGGTTTTCCTGTTTAAGGTCGTAGTTGGGTCACAGGCGGCTGCAGTGGTGCTGAAATAGCAGGTGTGAGTTTTATGTGAATGCTCTTCGGAAGCAGTGACAAGCCCCAGGACGAGGGATACACACAGCCCGCCCCGTGACTCCGCCACACCCACATGCCTCTGCGAAGCAGCTCCGCTCAGTATTATCCAAACCGCTGTGCTTCCGTAGTTTCTAACAGGAGAAGTTATTCTAGTAATAGACGGGCCAGCATTTTGACTTATGTTTCTTCAGAGGATTAATACCTCTGAACTCATGCAACTAAAACCTCGAGCAGTTTTCTTACAATTATGGGGTTTTTTTGTTAATCTTCTAAGCTTAGCATAGATTCAATAGTATAGAGCTGGAACCTCTTTGTTTTAAGTATTGTTAAGAGTACCTGATATCTATCCATATCAGTAAGTTACAAAATTGTCTCAAAGCATAGCTTGCCTTTGTCTCTGTCCCACTGCGCGTGTGCGTGCAGGAGTGTGTGTGTCATGAGGAGGGCACTGCCGTCTCCCTGACCGAACCGCCGACCTGGGAGTTCCAGGATCCAGTAACACGTTCACCCCTGGCAGCCTTCCTAAACGCTCCTCTCTGAAATAAGGGCACTGCCAAAGCCCAGGGGAAGGATTAATGTGTACTTAACAGACATTCTGGTGATTGGCTATGTAGTGTGGAATATGTTTTTTCTGTACTAGAACCTGCAAGTCTTACCTGGCAATAACGTAACCCATTCTTCAACCTTATGAAGCTATGAATATTTATTCCAGGGGAAAACATTTAGCATATGGCGGCTGAATGATCTTCGGGACCTGACACGGTATGTGTCATTGTTCTTATTTAGAGAAGTTCACAAAGAACTTTGGAAGACCGAACAAGGCACTGTCATAGGATTGCTCAATGCTAACCCTATGAAGCCCAAGGACGGGTCAGAAGAGGTAAGACTTTTTCCAGGCACTGCCCCTCTTGCCTGTTTTGGTCATGATGATTTAGCCAGGTTTTATCAATAAATTACCACCGGGCAATTAGTCCTAATTCTCTATCATTCTGCCTCCACTAATGTGGATTTGTGAGTGTGTGCTTGTTGGTTCTACTCTTTCTCACACACACACACTTTATGCTCACATTCTCTTGGCCTTGCCTTCTTGGTCACAAGATGGCTTTGAAACTTTAGCTCTCCCAGCTCCGTTCAGGGCAGGAAGTAGGGTGGGAGGCTGAGCTAGCCTTGTCAGTCCTCTATCCAGAAAGCGAACACCATGAGAGAAGAGTTACTGAGGACGGCCCTCAGGGCCACGCTCTCAGGATACATAAGGCCAGTGGGCTCAACACAGCCCACAAAGAACAATGTTCTGCATCCTACTTTGGTGAGTAGCAACTGAGGGCTTAAAGATTGTGAGTGGCTATCTAAGGTGCAGCTACGAGTCTCTCCCTGTCCAGATTAAAGAGGAGTGGGGAAAATGGAAGCTGCATAGAAGCAATTAGTCCAAAGGACTAATGGGACATGTAAAACCCAGCCTCCGTGTCCCTGAGCTGGTGCTCAGCTACTGCTGCGGGCATCTCTGGAAGGAATCACAATGGGAATCCTGAGTGGAGCGGGAGAAGAATGTAGCACATAGCTCAGAACCATACAAACAACCAGCCGTGCAGGTCTGATAGAGACTGGTGGAAGGCTGGGGTCCTTAAGCACCTGCAAGCCTGCAGCTCAACTTAGCCTGGCAGCTCACCTTTCACCCAACAACAGGCCTTTAGGTGAACAGTATCACCCAGGAGGTGTGCACTCCATGGGCCAAGCAGCTGTCAGCCCCAAAGGGCAGCCTTTGCCCTGAGATGGACAGCTCAGCAGGCAGGAAGGATGAGAATCGGAAGCACAAACGGAATGAGGCTGATACATTGTAGGAATGGCAAAGTGCACGTGAGGGAGGGAAAAAATGAGGAGCTGTTACCACGGGCTCAAGTAGAAAGCAGGTGTTTTGAGAATGATGATGGCAACATACGTACAAATGTGCTTGACGCAATTGATGTCTGTATGGATTGTGATAAGAGTCGTATGAGCCCCTAATAAAATTATTTTTAAAAAGAAGAAGTAACATGTATAAAGTGCTGAATCGGAAACCATGTTGCTCAGTCCCTTTCACCCAAATCACAATACAGAGTTACAAAAAGGAAGGAGGAGAAGGTGTTCCCCATATATTTTTCTTACCTGCTCCCATGACCTGGCTTAATGTAGCCATTGCCAAAAAACAGGCTGTGGGTCCATCACCTGAGGCTGAGCAGCTCACCACCCTAAATCATCACAAAGAGGGAATGAGTGATTAGAACTTTAATTATGTCTTTCATATTCCCATCTCTACACTACTTCATAACCGCTTGACTTCAGATTCCTTTAGACTAATAAAGCCTCACATCCTTGCCAACCATCCTTACCTGCCTTGTCTCCTACCTCACGTCTTTTTTCTATAGGTGTGCCTATCTATAGATCATCCTCAGAAGGTCTTGATTATGGGTGAAGCGCTTGACCTGGGCACCTGTAAAGCGGAGAAGAAGAATGGCCAGCCCTGCACCCAGATGGTCAATTTGGTTGGTTCTCACCTTGTTCACTTGGGTTCTGCTACCGAAGGGACCTCTGAGGAGTAACTTGTAGGTTCTTTAGCTCGAGCGACCACTTTGCAACTGTTCCTCCCCAACAGAAAGGGGCAGGAGGAGAGACTGGATGTGAATTTTGCAGGACAGTGTGGTCATAAACAGTTGCAGGTGACCAGTTTCAAAAAGGGCATATGTATGTGTAAGGGCAGGGAGATGGTAACCTCCAGAAGGTGTTTCTGTTTTTTTCTCTTTGCCAAATAACTAGAAACGCTAAGAAAACCAGGTTTTTAGCTTCCTTCTGAGATCAAGCACAGGGCAGTGAAACACACTTAGTTTATATTGTATCTTCCCTTAGTTTATATTGTATCTTCCCTTAGTTTATATTGTATCTTCCCTTAGTTTATATTGTATCTTTTCATCAAGCTCTTTTAAAAAGTCTTTTTGAGATCACCTTTAGGGATCACACAAGTCGCCCTTGTAAAGATGCCATTAAGTACGTCTAGTACATTCACAGAGCTAGGCAACCTACACCACTGTCTAATTTCCGAAGATTTTCATTTCTCCCGTGTCAATTAGCGCTCACCTGTACCCTCTGGAAATCGCGAACGTACTTTCCGTCCCTATGGTTTGCTTATTCTGGACATTTCCCATCAGTAGGATCCGCTCACACAACTAGGGGGCCTGTCTGGCTTTCACTGATCGTAATGTCATCCAGTCCTTGTTTGTGGCTGAAGGCTCCATTGTCGAGATAGACCACGTTTTCTTATTCCACTCACCCGCCGGTGGGCCTTGAGGTGGCTTCCACGTTTGGCCTTCATGAATAGTGCTGCTAGGAGCGTCCATGTACAAGTTTTTGTGGGGGGCGGGCTCTCACTGCCTTTGGATACGTATGTAGAATTGCTAAATCCTACGGTCACTCGATGTGTACTATTTTAAAAAACCGCCAGACTGTTTTTCAAAGCGACCAGCCCGTTTTACAGTCCTACCACAATGAATGAGATCCCGAGCGTCCACATCCTCTCCAGGACTTGTTAGTGTTGTGTTTTCTCTGTTGCAGCCATCCCCGTGGGTGTGCAGCGGCATGTTTAAGGTCTTTGGAAGGAAGCACCTGAGAGGTTTGGGTTTTATCTCTGGGGGAGAGAGGAGGTCTCGAGGGAAGAGCCTCACAGATCTCCATTGAGAGCATGGCATTGTGGCGAGGGCAGGAGCTTGGCATTTTCCCATGGAGTTGGCCCCTGACTCCGGGCCCACGTACCCACACAGGACCAAGGCTGCCCAGCTCTCTTCAGAGTTAGATCAGGAGGCCCTGTTACCCGTCATGTCCCCAGCTCCCCCCGACTCCTGTTGATTGAGTATCAGAGAAACACGCAAGCCTCCCCTGGCAGGTGGTGATGGCTGGGCCTTGGGTACACCAGCCAGGGACTGAGCCAGCATCTCCTGTGTGGAAGGATAGTACTCCACCACTGAGTCACCACATCCCTGAAAAAGCCATTGTCACCATACCTCGGAGCCCACGGAATAGAAGGGCGCTTGGCTTCTTTGGCTGAAAGAGCAGCGCTGCCCCAGGAGGCAACCTGGGCAATCCCTAGAAACACCTCGCTCCAAGCTGATTTTCGTTTACATTTTAGAAAGGAGGCAAAGGAGACAAGCGTTCGGTCTTCTTCTCTCACCAGTCCAGTGCTCCAAAAGGGGTTTAAGTGGAGACCTTTCCTCTTAGTAGCTGCTTAGCTCTTCCGCATGGGGAGTGGTCTTGGGTGTCATCAGGGGGCTGGGCACGAACAGCAGCAGCGTGGGAAGCTGAGGGGAAAGAAGTGATCTGACTCCCACCCCCCCCCACCCCCACTTCAACCCTGGGGCCCTAACCCTGACGCAGCTGCTCTGTTGCAGAGGGACTGTGAGTACTGTCAGTATCACGTCCAGACTCAGTACAGGAAGCTGAGCGCAAAGCGAGCCGACCTGCAGTCCACCTTCTCCGGAGGACGGGTTCCAAAGAAGTTCACCCGCAGAGGCGCCGGCCTGAAGGAGCGGCTCTGCCGCGACGGCTTCTACTACGGAGGCGTCTCCTCCGAGTCGTACGCGGCCTCCGTGTAAGACGTTGTTCTCAGGGCTTCGGGCGGCACAGGGTGCTTTTCTCGTGGGAACGAGTCCAACGGTTGGAATCGTCTGTAACTGTCACAGGCTGTTTAGGTTCTAGGATCCACCGCTCGCTTTAGTTCAGGGAGAAAGGAGGACACACAGAAGGGAGCTAGCTGAGTCCTGATGTTCCTGGACGTACAGCCCAGACTCCTGTCTGACTTCTGATGGGGAACGTGCCCCTTTATATATCCGAGTCTATTATAGAAGCACATTAATGGCGTGCCAGCACTGCTAACACACATTCTGCTCCATTCCACTGGGTACTATGTTAAGGATCCGTTAATGTTAGCGTTACCAGCCCTGAAATCTCCCCCAGGACTCATCCGAGTGAGCTCGCGGCCCTCAGAACGCACATCCTACTAAACCAATGCCCCTCGGTGAAGTGCCGCAGGGGGAGGACGAGGGTGTGGCTGACCTGGCCCTCCATAGACTCCCTGGCCGCGGGCTTCAAAGCCAGGAAACCCAGTGTACAGAGAGCACACATCTGAGCAGAAGAGGTGAGCTGCGATGGGACTTTGTTCTCGATTCCACAGGAATTAGCCGAGAGAACTCGCACTTCATTTGATAGCATCGAACACAATTTAGCAATCTAAAACAGCATCGGCACTTTTTCCAAACGGAAAAAAGGGAAACCCTTACATTATAGATGATTGTGTCAGCCTTCCAGAAGCTGTCCATGGCCCCACTGCCTAGATTCCTGTTCATTCCTGCCTATGTGTGCTTCTCCGTGTTCTCTTTGTGTACCATATGTGCAAATGCCTTCTAGTATGGAATGAGACCACACGGGGACTGCACCTGTGTTATCTTCTCTTTTGCCCCATTTTCACTTCATACTCCTCCGGCATTATTTTTAGGGGCTCTGACCACTTATGGAAGCAGTTCCCTGTGGGTGAGCTCTGATGTTCTTTCTGACGTTCTCCATTACAAGCAGAGCTGCAGTTAACACCCGCAGCTTTGGGGCAGTCCTTCGTTATTGTCAGAGTCCCTGACTCCTCAATCCCAGTGCTGGCATAACCTCCAGCGCCCTGACCTTTGCCTGTGAACTATGTGTGCCACGGGGTAGCCGGCTTCAAGTTCCGGTGCTCTGAGGAAGAAAGGTGGGCGCTTTCCGATAGCGGCACCACACCTCCTCGAGCCCCTCAAGGCGCTGATGGTCAGTGGTTTTTCTTGGGGGACGTGGCTCTTGTCATTGCAGGGCAGCGGTTCTTGCTCCGAAGAAGACGATTCAAACCACTCTGACCAACATGGTTGTCAAGGGCTCCAACCTGATTATCCAGGAAACGCGACAGAAACTCGGTAACCTTTCCACATGAAATGTCTTTCTGCGGCTCGGAGTCTGTGGGATTGACAGTGGTTATGATACCCACGCCTCACGGAGAATCAGGCGCGGTCAGGAGTCACACCTGGTTGGCTGTCTACTGTGAAAAGGCATCCTCGTCTTTCACCAGCTGCCACGGGGTCGACTCCCACTCCCAACGACCCGCCGTGTGCCAGCGGACCCTGCGCCCCAGAGAGTTTCCAGGGGCTGGGCTTTGGGAAGATGGTTAGCAGACCTTTCTTCCAAGGCGCCCCTGGGTGGGCCTGAACACCCAGTCTCTCAGTTAGCATTTCAGCACATTCCCTGCTTGCCTGACCAGGCACTCCTATGAACTTCTTTGAACCAGCTGGGCCTAAGTCTTATTGCCCAGCAGTAGGGCCAGTATTAGGGACCTGGTCGAAGCTGCTAGCTATCTGTCGTTAAAGCGGTCTCGATCAGAAAACGCCCCCCATCCTAGCGTTGGTAAGTGCTGTTGAGTCAGCTCCAGTTCGCAGCGACCCTGTGTAGCAGACCGAAACACCGCGGGCCTGCGCCGTTCTCACGCTTGTTAGGGTTGAGCCCCCTGTTGGAGCCCCTGTACTCTGTATGGCTTTCTTCATAAGCTGGTTGGGGGTGCGTGTGGGCCCTGGGCCATGTATTCCAGAAATAATTCATGAAATGGCCCAGCACATACTAATTGCATAGTTTCCTAATAAGTAGAAGCATGGCTGTAGAGGCAAGGATGCCTCCTTTATTTCTCTGGGTGTTTTTGTCTACCTCGTTTGTAAATGACTACATTATAAATATGAAAATATGGGCTGGTGACTCATCGGCCACCAAGCAGACTGAAGTTTGGATCTGCTAAGTTGGTGCCTCGTCGTCACAGGATTGCCGCAGAAGAGCTTGTCTTGTTCTGAGGAGTTCAGAGAGCTGATGCACTTGCCTACCTCCGGAGCCAGGAACTTAAAACGGCACTTGGCCAAAGCCAAGACATCAGGTGCGGTCCGCTTGGTTCTAACCAGTTGCCCTCGAGCGCCCAGGTCCCAAGTGTGTCAGAGTCTAACTGCTCCTCGGTGTCCCTCAGCCTCCACTGAGCCCTCTCAGACTGTGCCTCTGTGTTTTAGGGGCTGCGGGGAGCCCTAACCTTGCTGCTATTCAGTCTATCTCGGCATCAGCCCTCTTAAAGCAGCAGAAGCAGCACCTACTGGAGAAGAGAAAAAAGAAATCAGAAGAAATGCAGAAGCGGTAAGAGGAGCGGTCGTAGAGCCTGTGTGGAGAACACTGGGGGAGCCTCCGAAGGTCTTCATGGATTTAGTAGGACTTCTCAGTAGTTTCATGAACAGCGAAGTCAGTTATAAGCGAAGAGGCAATCCTTGGGGAAGTAAGGGAATGAGTTTAGACTCACATGCGTTAGACTGAGGCGCCCAAGGGAACCCTGCCGTGCTTTTCCTCCTGTGCCCACAGGAGACGTGATTGTGAGCGCTCACGTGTGCTCTGCACAGCGTTGTGGGCCTTGTAGGAAAGGAGAGACCTGCCCGCAGGCTCAGCCCGGGGTCTGCGAGACTGGGTACGGGGGAGTGCAAAGAACACTGGCCTTGGATTACCTGGTCCTTCTAATCTGATTTGGGGCCCCAGTTTCTTCATGTGTTTAAAAATGGTTTGGGCTAACTGATAGCTGAGGTCTTTATTCATTTTAAATAGCCCTGAAACCTGTATGTAAAATACCATGCATATCTAAGATCTCCCAGCCCAGGTCCAAGGCCCTATCTGCTTATTTTGTTTCTCGGTGTTTCTTTAAAGATTCCTCCAAAGCTCGAGTCAAGGAGAGTGCCCAGCTCTGCCGTCCTCTTCTCGACAGCCCACTTCTCCGCCTCCACTAACCCGAGCTGAGCTTCCCAGCCGGGAGGCCACCCAAGCCCCACAGACGCCCAAGCTTGGGCGAGGCATCGCCGAGGGAGAGGATATTCTCTTCTTTGATGAGTCGCCACCACCAAGACCAAAACTGGGTGCTTTAGCCGAAGCCAAAAAGGTGACTGGCATGTGTTTATCTTCCTGACAGCATTCATACTTTTATACCAGGAACGACAGACATTAGCAGCTATTCCTTCGCCAGGAGGACTGTAGTTGAAGAAACTTAAGATGATAATGATATCTACATAATGCTATTCATTTAAACCAAGAAAGGTAGCCACTATCCACGCTTTCCTGCTTAGAGGAAGGTAATATTTTACAGCTGGAGACAGCGGCAGTGGGGAATCATTCTTGGAACGGTTTTGAGGCTGCAGAGTAACACAGTGCCTTTCAAGCTGGTTTAACAGTGGGCTCCCTCTTCGAAAGATCTCGTACAGTGCCCAATCGGTAGACCAGCGATAGCGGTCCCTCTGATGGAAGTGGAGGCGAGATGTCCCCCAGTTCACTGAGATAACCAAATTAAGGGCAGAAGACTCACTACAAGCCAAATCTTTGCACTTCATAAGACTGGTTCAAATAACAAAACTAATAGCAATTGCCAGCATTGCTAACCATACTTCAGACATGTGATGCTTTGCATGCATGCTCTCTGCTGCGTGCAAGTGCATGCTTTGCATATTTTGTCTCGTTTGCACAACGACAAAGTTCAAAGAAAACTAATGCATTGTCCAGTTACACATACATGCATCAACTGAAGCTGAATGTTTAGGTAATTTGCCGAAGAATGCAAGCTCTTAAGTGGCAGGGCTGAAACTCAGACCTAATTCTGTTTTGCTCCAAAACAGATTTCCAAAGTAGTAACGAGATTCCTCACTACGCCCCAGAAACCAGGGAGTTTTTCTTCTGGGGCTGAACAGGAAAGTCTGAAATGTCTTCCCTGGTCAGTCTCTAGTGGTATGAGATCTTCGCAAAATGCCTGCCCGGCCTCTGCGGTCTACACTCTACTTAGGTTAAACTGTTCGAGGTCTGTTTCCCATGCATTTACAGTTGTAATAATTGCGGTAATGCTGCGAAGAGCGACCACTCACTAGGTAATGACAAGAGGTGCAGGTTTACAGAGCCTGCCTCATCCTTCTGATATTCATCTCCCTTGCCATTTTCCCCCCTTAGTTAGCTGCAATACACAAATTAAGGACAAAAAAACAAATTCTTACCAAGACGGACCCAAACAGCATTAAAAGGAAGCAAATGGACCCGGAGGATGTCTTGGAAGTGATGGAACGTGTAGAAAAAAGCGCCACCTTTTCTCCTCCAGGTACGGCAGCGTTAGCAATCCCTGATTTCAACAGTCATGATCATGCTTCCTGTTCCTTCTGCGTGTGGTGGTGGTGGTGGAGGTGGAGGTGGTGGTGGTGGTGGTGGTGGTGGTGGTGGAGGTGGAGGTGGAGGTGGAGGTGGTGGAGGTGGTGGTGGTATTACTTGGCATGGAGTCGTTTACTCATGGAGCCATCTTGAGATACTCATGGAGACCCTGCCAGACCCGGTGTCTTCCCTATAAGTTGTTGCAGATCAGAACATTGTGATCCATAAGGTGCCATTGGATGATTTCTGGAAATAGATCGCCAGGTCTTTCTTCTTAATTTGTCCTAGTCTGGACGCTGTGCTCAGACCTGTACAGTATCATAGCTGTGTGGTAGCCAGGTGTTGACTGGCTACATATGAGGTGGATTGACCAGGAACCAGACCAGGTGTCCTACATAGAAGGTGAAAGAGAACCCTGTTGGTGTTGTGGGTTGTTACGCAATTAACCTTAAGGCTGGGGGTTCAAAAGCACCAACCATTCCATAGAGGAAAGGTGAGGCTGTCTGCTTCTGCAAACACAGTCATGGAAACCCTCTCTCGGCTC